TGATCATGGCTTTCAGTTGCTCAATTAAATTCTCTGTCAGGAAACAAGTTTCGGAAATTTAGCAATCTGCAGCCTTGTTTAATTCGTTTGTAGTTCACATGAGTCCCCTACACGTCCAAGGTAAAGTCTTGTTTGATTTTTTCCTTTTGTCTAATTTGTTCGATTTCGCATTACTGCAAAAGTAACTGGAAATTGTGGTGTCAACTTGAGACGGTGATCTGCACCGGGCAAAGGGCACTTTCAGTGCCAGTGGCACCCAAGCGCCTCGGTGGAACCACACACTGAAGTCCAAGTTAAGAGGAACCTAAGTGCTCGATCCATCCCATGTAGCCAACACGTCACCAATGTTGTTTGTCGAACTGGGTACTAGTGTGTAAGCTTTGATAGTCTAATGAAATTCTTACAGAAATGTAGAGTGCGGACTTTGAGTATTAAGTTTCTTGATGCAATTAGTGTGAGGTCGATACCACCCTGCCAATCACACGCACACCAGCTAAGTTCACTATTTGGCTTTGCTTCGCACAACGCACTCGCCTGTTTTAAGATGAACACTAGTATTCGTATTTCATTGTACTACGGTTATCAGGGATCACCGATTTATTCTGGGACTAATTTACTATGTAGTTCTTTTACAGGGGCAACAGTGGAACCCCAAAACGAGACTCGGACTAGGCCTATACCATTCAGGAGGTGTTTGCTCGGTCTGAAAGTAAAACAAAACTATATAACATGAGGAGTGTTGCATTTACTTACCTAGTCGTTTCATAGATAAATGTGAGACTACATTCCTCCACAATCTTAAGATCTAAGTTAGAGGCGAGAGCGCCGGTGAGGTACGTGCAGAGATTGATAGTACCCGATCCAGTATGAACTGACGAGTTGCTACCTTGCGCAACCACACTCATTCTTCGTCAATAAAATAGGTTAAGTCACGCGTTCTCTGCATCTCTTACCTTTTCTTCGGTTGGACCTTTTCAGCTTAGGTTGCATGGCCCAAATGTGGTCCTCTGACCGTACCGAGGCCCAAAAAAATTCACAGTAATCTGAAATTTTGTCCCAAGGGTAGAGGAATGCTGTTGGAAGAAGTGCCACTGTTAGATTGTGTTAGGGTACGGATATTTATTAGTTTCACGTTTAAAATTGAGATACAGAGACGTTGATTCCTATCACTAAACGCGAGACAAGAAATGAGTTTAACAAGAAAAACTTGACGCACACTCAACTCTTCTGACACATTAACGGGCTAGTCACGATCGAAAAATGGTTGATCATCAATAAATTACTTCCATCCAACTGACTGCTTTCCTAAAGAAAGCCCGATGTAGTGAATAAAATTACCTTCTCTAACTGCAGTAACAGGAAATACACACAAAGGTCGAAAGAGATCTCGGGTCCTAGAACTTGCAACAATTTTTGATTTTACATCCTTCTGCATTTTCTTGCCTGACTGCTGCTGTGGCAATTCGTGGCAGACTGGTGGCCTTCCACCAAGTCTGTGATTGGTCAATCTCAAGGTTGAATAAGGTGCGTTGTTTGGCCGTGTCGGCGGTACATGCGTGACACGTGATTGGGGCGTGGCTTCAAGCATGCGCGCCCTTACGCTCACACCTGGTGTGTGCGTGATGGTGTTCGTTATCATTGAACCATCGCATGCCTGGTACATGGTATTCCGTTTTAAGAAACCTCACTTGATCTCATGGAAGAATGCTCCCGTATTTGTAAGGTGAAAGCCTGCTAAAACACGGCCAGGCTCAAGTGACTAAATTTTTCTTAATTGGTTATGGTCGTTCTTGAGATATCACTACAGAAATTGTCAATTTAAAAGCAAAGGATCGATCGTACCCAGGTGGATGTTAAGTTCCGTGTACAAATTCTGGAATAGGTTCCTTTTTTTGTCACTGTTATACGCTCTCAATCAAAGTCATTGGCTTCTAAAACTGTGTTCACCGAATCTCCTGGCCTGGGCAGCCTTAGTAACATTAAAATTAATTTTACTATGGGAGGAATTAATTTCATTAGCTTCCGCACTAATGAGTAACCCTAACGGCTAAGGACAAGTGATTATTTGCCAGCAGAACTTCTGACACTTCGGATTGTCGTAATTTGTTTCTAAAAGTAAAATTAGCATGACATGGAAAGCTACGACACCCAGACAAGTGCAGCGTACCCTATGAGTCATTGTAGCCATCAAAATAACTTGTTGAGAGAAAAGTACGTGTGATAATAGAAAGCAGAATAGGTGTGAGTGACTCACGGCTCCGACCTCCAGTTACATCACATGTGACTCATATTCTTCGAAATGGATGCACGGCTAACTAAAACCTTATTTGAAAAAATCGTCTCTGAAGAGGAATTGAAGGCTATTTATAACAAGTATTCGGAGTGCGTTCTGTACTAAGAATAATTTCCATGCTTCAACTATTTTGAACAAGAAACACAGGGTGTATTGGACTCGTACCTTGCACTCGGTAATACATGCTTTCCGGTGACAACCATAATGGAAAACCCAAAATAAGAATGTAAAGGCGGTCGGTTTTTAATGCAGACATTATAAATATATGCACGTAACTATGTAGGCGACTTATTTTGAATATTCGATGCAAACTTATGCCAGTGTGGAAGCGTTTTGTCCCAAATACAACTTTAGTTGGTAAGGAACGTTCACATTCTTCGAGCAATACAAAAATGGCAATTTTTTGGTTAAAACATGCGAATTCACGTGATGGACAACCAAGCTGCCGATGTTGTCGCCGACCGTGAACGCAAAATATGTGTTTGCACCGACACCACCACGATTGGTCACTTCAAGGTCACCGATCAGCTGTGACTGTTGAACAGCAAATGCAAGGCGTGATAAAGCGAGCGGCTGGCACCCGCTTACGTAGTTCGTGTTGGTTCATTGCGGTACATGAACAGTTTGACGTGAGGCGGTGGGCCGGCGTCGTTCCATTTAAATTGTGCGTGTACCGTTTGTGTGAAGGAGCTCTATTGGACCCAAAATTGTGTGAAAAAAGAAAACGATAGAGTGCATCCATGCATCAACCCGACAAACCATAATGCCATCCAACCATTTAAATTTAGGAGAAGACCTGAAAGTGCCATGATCGAACATAAATTTAAAATAGCTCAACCATTGTGAGTAGACCACAAAATATTTCGAACATGTCTGGTTGCCTCAGTACTCTATGGCCAGGAATGTAACCCAGGACCATTTACTTCTGAAAAGTGACCTTTACAAGTGGTTATTGAGATTCAGGTTCTCAAAGTACCGCCTAGGTTATGACAAGTGAAAGAGCGCTTCAGGCTCTTGGTCAGTTTAACCAACAAAATTAGCACCTAAGTGGATGCAACTGTTTTTGGTCGGTAAAATGCAATAATGTCGGTTTTAATTTCGTCAGAGTTATGCTGTTATCTGTGGGTTCCGCAAATTTCAACGTAATTCAGTGACTATGCATAGCTGGAGTGGTCTACGTGGTTTGGAATAGTCAGTGTTTGAATCCGTGACGGGTGAAGCATTTTTAAGAGTCAAACTTAGAACGCCCCAGCGAATTCGCTAGAGCTGTCCCCGTTCGTAAAATCGTGTATGAACAATTATTGTTTACAAGGCTTCGGTCCCTTCGTGCAGACACACCGAGGTCAATTACGTCAGCACAACAAAAACAGTCCGGGACGTTACAGAAACGTTCTAAGAGTCACCATGAAAATTATCGACAATAAACAATGCATATGACGAATACCACACTTGTTGGACGCTAAAACACGAAAGAGACATGCGGCGCTCGAATTGTAACAGTGAAATAACGGGAAGACCTGGATAACATGATACACGTTAGAGAGTGTCAGAACAAACTGCGCTAAACACGAGATCACATTAGTCTAAAATGACCGTTAGATGATTTTGGGGTAAGCCTTTTAGAATACTGATAGGCATTGAAATGAAACTCAAATTGAGTACCTATTCGCACCCTTGAAAATATCACCCTGTTGTTTAAAATGGGAGCATTGCTTGACTCTGTCCGCGAATTTTATCAAAAAAATCGTTTTTGAACCATTGTCGTGAACCCTAATAGCACTACAATGGAGGTTGCATCCAACCCAAAATGATTATGCTTTTTAATAAAATCACCTTTCTGCGTGAACTGAGATGAACCTGCAAGGTATTTACGAACGCTTATCAAACCAAACCCATTTGCTGACTTTATTTGAAAAAATGGTTTACCGAGGATTGAGTGAATCGTTGTCGAATGGCTACGTTTTGTGGTCTAGACTAATAACTTATGTAGATTACATGCATTTGTTAAGTAGAATGCGTTTCAAAATGTCCAAATCTCCATCAACCACGTTTATGGGCTTAAGTTCGTCGGACCAGACGCGTTATTCCTAAAAAACGTAGACTAATTTGAAACACTTTCAAGCTTAGACGGCATGAAAGAGATTGTGGATCGTACCAGGCCAGTTACCTTTGACGCTGCTTTCAATAGAAGACGATAGAACGTTACCACTGATTGTTTAAACGGCGTGGATTTCTAGCTCAACGCGTGGACACCATACCGGGTTATGTAGCATGAAAGTCATCGTGTGTCACTCGTAAAAGTGGCCTGAAAGCGATTGCGCATTTCCTAAACAAACCCGGTGCTTCTGAACTTTCCATCGGTCTTGAAACAACGAATACCCAAAACGAGGAACCCTAGGCGCATCGATAATAGTACAGAAGTATAATGTGCAGAATGAAATATATTGAGAAGTAATTCAGACATCTTGTCCAGCAATTTTAGGTGTAAGAAAGACTGTACGGTGGTCTGAGCAGGACTTGTGTGGAAAGCGACACCGGTATCACGCGTGCGATTTCGTCTTTTTTTCCACAATTAGGGGCTGCAGACACTGTTGACAGGATAAATGCGATTCTGCTACGCCTGTAACTGTGCGCATCCGCTGTTCCTCCGACCAATCACGTGTATGGGCAGTAGCATGACGCGGCGAAATGGGGAGAGCACTCCACGTCAGTTGAGGCCCCTTCCACCGACCATCGATGAGACCCCGTTTGTTGTCTCCAGTTGGTGTCGTTTCATGTGCTTATTGAGGTGGTCACTTCGACTGAATCGGCGGGGACAAAAGTTGCAGGTGAATTTTCGTTCGCCGGTGTGAGCTCGTTTGTGGCGTGAGAGCTCGTCCGATCGCGCGAATTGGCGCCCGCAGCCCTCCCAGTCACAGGCATAGGGTTTTTCACCTGAAAAACCAAAACAAACAAACTACAGCCATCGTTAATCGGCAGTGCATCGCCGATCAGATAATGCATGCGTGATATGCTCGCGACAATCAACCTTGGCGTGGCTGAACACACACACACACACCCTGCGTGGCAGACTTCCTCAGGCTGTGCAAGTGGAGCCTTTGGTTAGAAAAGAGAGGTAAACACACCTGTGTGCGTGCGCACATGAGCCTTGAGGTGGGAACTCTTGAAGTAGGCCTTGTCACAACCTTGAAAGGTGCAGTGGTGGGTTTTTACGCGACTGGAGGAGGCGTTGGCGGTTACTTGAGAGGCAGTCTGCTTCTGAAGCGCTGCATAGGAGAAAGGACAGGGGTCGGAGGCCCGTCTTTCAACGAAAGCGGGGTGGATCTGGGGAGTTGGATTTAATGAGAGGGCGTGGAGATCAAACGGGCAACTCGAAGGCTTCGCCAATGAAGGGGTGAAGTGGTCGTCTGTCTCTAGCCCATTTTGATAAGTTGACGACTAAATTGACAAAATAACCATGTTATCGGCCTTGTTACCCGAAGGGCATTTTAACAGCACAAGTCTGAGTACTAACCGGGGTCGAACTGGGGGAACCGCCGTCTTCAGAACAAGGCATAGGAGAAACAACACCAAAAGCGACATGATCTTGAGACTGAAGTGACGTCTGTTGGTGTTGGGCCATAAGCATCAAGATTGCTGACGAATCAATCAGATCGGCTGAAGCTCGCCTCACTGGAATTCTGCCCTCAGTATTCTGTTCACGTAATAACTAAATGCAAAATCAATGTATTTAATTGGAGTGGCTTAGTACATCAGATAAATGACCATTAATTAGTAGAGGCTTACCTCGGCAAGGCGAGACACAGGTTCAGTCCCTGCAGTCTTGTGCTTAAGGTTTGTTGCGGCAGTCTGGTGGGGTTTAGTGCGATGCAGCTTGAATTTGAGCCGCCGGTGTAATTCCCCCTCGGTATCTGGTCCAGTCGGGTTTTGATTACTTGTGTTTTGGGGAAGAGAGAAAGGATTGAGTTCTGGGAAAGATATGGTCGGAGCAGAGACACGGTTTTGGGCAGCCAAACCAAGGGAGAATCCCTCCGACAATGAGACCAGTATCTCTGCGGTTTTAAGTTGAAGCATCTGGGCAAAATAATAGAAAGAGATAGACTAACTGCTCCGTTGGTTCATGATTACTTAAATTGGCTTTTGCCAGGCTTTTATGGCCCCTTCAAACTTACATCAATTTTTGTCGGCTGCATGAGCAGCGAAGAGGCAATATCCAAGCTCATTGATGTGAACGGTTTCTAACAGAATCCAACAGACAACGGGAATGAAGGACGCTTGCTCGATGGCGATGCTTCCACGCCTTATATAGCAGCCAATACTCGTTCTAAGGTCACGCGTCTAGTCAGTGTGGCCTCGAAACCCTGCGTGGGTGCGCACATTTTGTTTGGCCCACTAGAACCAATTAAGTATCTAGAAGTGCGCGCAACCACACAAACTCTAAATTCTCATTGGCGCGTCACTTGCGCACGTTCCCCAAGGTTATTCTGCCTGAAGTCCTTGCATGCGGCAAATCACGCATTTTGGAAATGACCATGAGCGAACGGCTGGTGCGTAGGCTTGTGCACACCGTTGCGTGCCGTGTGATCCAAAACACACATCTGCCAAGCCCACAGGAATGGGGGTGTGCCACTTGCATTGTCGACGCCCTGCCACCATCAGGCGTTTCGCGTTGAATGAACCCTCGAGTGTGGCTTCAGGAAAGACGTTTTAGTCTTGGCCCTTGAGGACGCTCTCATTCTCGTCAACCGAGGTGAGTTCATTTAAACTGTTTCCACAACGAAGAAACTCCATAACTTTGGTGGAAGGCAATTTTCAGTTTCGTTTAAGAGATGAGCTAACACTTTCGTCACCCAGGGGAAAGACAATGAAGAGGTCTGTCTTCGCTGTCCACAGAAGGAACGCATTGGTGCATCATGGCTGGGGTGTGTGGTAATAACAGTTATAGTTTGTTCGTCTTAAATTAGCGTGGTTTCTAAAATTGCCTCCCTCACGACGCTGATAATGCAAGTAGGCCATTGGATGTGAGATTCGAGTCTACCATGCTTCACCTAATGACACTTTTCATCGTTTTTTCCGTTCCTAGGATGTCGGGGCTGCCAAGGATAAATTCCTAACTTGTTTCGGATGCGTAAGTGGTAAACGTGCGCTTAATTTCATGACGCCTTTTGATGGTGGATAGATTAAAACTTCCAGATCGGGGAGTTTTCCTTTTTCGTCGCATTTAATTTCTTCGAAATTTCTCCATCAAACGACCACAGTGGAACTCAGTCGACGAAACACCCACCGTGGGGATTGGCGCTCTCGAGATTTCTCGGAATTGCTGTTCGGCGTCGTCGCATTAGCCCCTACACATTCCCACTGCTCAGCAACTGGCACCATCATAGTTTAATGCATCGAAATATTTCGAAAAGTACTATCTACCAAAGAACTAGAAAAGATGACCAACTTTTCGGCTCCTAATAGATGATAGGCTGATAATTCATCGTGGAGTTTGTCAAAACTAAAATTCTCGAACACAAGGTAGCCGTCTCTCGTTCTCCATTTATTGGCATAGAATAAGCTGAGGTATTTGAGAAGTGAATGAAGCCTATTATGTAGGAAGACCTCCTGGGTCGGATTATGTTCTAAGCAGTTCTGGGGCTAGCTTCAGTCTGATGTCAAGTGAGCCCTGGTATGTAGCTTATACGCTTGTGGAAGTGATGGTGTTAAGACCTAAAGTTGCTTTGATGGCTCGCAGGGGGAACGTCTACTGGGTCATAGACACTCCGGATGTTTTCCTAGTCACCGTAAGGTGCTTTTTAGTATAGATAAAGGTGAAGGAAGGGACTCTGCTACATTTCTGTCTGTCGATACTTCCGCCAATTTCGCCCCACAGCTAACAACGGTGCTAGCGGAAGGTCGTGGCTGGGTATATTTGCGTGAGTTTAGTAACCAGGTGTCTGTTTAATTTAGGGGATTAACAAGTCTTTTGAAATCTCCAACCCAAACATGCACATTTTGCTAACCCTACAAAACATCAAAAGGTTATATTCTGCTTTTCCAGAACCCAGGGTTCTTGATGTAAAAAATGAAGTGGCTTCCGGGCGCATTTGACCGTTGTAGTTTGACCAAAATGCAGAGCGTTTTGGGCTATCATGCGGTAAATCACGAGGCTCCACAAAAACTGAGTGGTGGGCAGGGTAAAAAAAGAGTCACGTGGCACAACTCAATCACCGCCGTTAATTTGTGCTAAAAAGTGGTCAGTTTTGTCATTCCGGGCATCGCGTCTTGTAAAACCACAAATGCTATTTGAACACTCCTGCGTAAATATAGCCTAGCCTCTTAGGAATCGGAAAAGTTTGGGAGTTTACCAGACGCGAAGTCCGATTTCAGTCATTTACTCGGAGAACTTGCTGAGTGGTGATTATTTTACGTTTTCCCATTTAGGGGTTCCTGATACATCAGGCTCTTCACCGCACCGATAGTTCGATGTGCTAAAACGTATTGCCTGAAAATGCCAAAACGGCCTAAACACATGACATTTTCGTGTCACTTTATTCAAGGCTTGCACCAGGAAGACTTATAAAAGACCAGTTGTGTTTCTTGCGACCTGTCTGACGATTCGCTTGATGTCAACACACTTTAGTTACATTGAAATATGCCTTACAAAGGCCGAGACGGGCTTCTGTTTCCTGACCTCGAGAAATAAAGTGTCGGTTCGATAAAACAATTCGACAAAAAAACTTCAATTTCTGAATAGTTTGTGCAAAGACACGTTTTTCCGGGGCTTTATTTGTTAGGTAATCCTTAAATGCCGCTTAGGTTGAATATAGATAGAATGGAGTTCCCCGTGTTGATTTTTGTGAGTACATCAACAAGCTTTTCAATGCGAAGGCGAAAAAAACATAAGCACATTTTTAATTGGTTTGTGATAACTGCGCCTTGGACATTGAGAATGTGGGAATGGTATTGCATTGTACACATGCTAAATTTTATTTTGTTCTTGGTCGTAATTTACCATTCGAGGTGTAGTGTTTGAGGTTTGAAGCGTTCATGAAGCCATTAAAATAAGGTGCTTAAAAGTACATTTGCATAACCTTATATTGTGAGAAAAAGTTGCATGGTTACAGCACCGAAGGGAGTCCGGCATGAGCGATTCGGTGAGACTACTCAAAGGTCCATTAGTTCAGGTGAATCACCCTCCTTGAGAATAAACCACGATGAGAATTGAATTACCCAACTGCCATCATCTCAAGCACAAACGGCAGGCTAGAAAGAAGGGGATAGAGGATTTCCAAATCAAACTTAGCAAAGAACATAGAGTTAACGTAATTTCAGAAGACAGCACCTTGTTTTATCGTCATGTGGTTGAACTACTCCGGACTAAATGGTTACGGGGAGGCGAATCACAGAATACATCTGAAAGAGCAACGCACTATAAAAGCAATTGCTATTGAGATCTCTGGAAGAAATTTTTGATTTGAATTAGCGCCACAAAACGAAACGATTGTTGAAAAATTTACAAGCTTACTTGGCATTGCAATTTTGACAGAACTACCAAAGTATTCTGTCTTGATAGCAAAAAACAACACAATCATATTCGTGCATCACCGATTTCCCTGCTAAATTCGCTTAAGCCTATCTAAGATGATATAAGTGAAGCAAAATTATTGTACGCAGAATACTAGGTACAGGATTATTCAGATGTATTTGTTAAAAAATCACAAAAGAAAATTTAAACGTTGACTGAAAAATTGTCAAGAGTATCTTCATGAAGCTGGTACCTGCAAGTTAAAGTTTATTTAACCAATGCTAAAGTCTTATTTTACAAAACGGTGTCTGCGTGTCAAATGACAGATGGAAGAGAGATTATGGTTTCGGCATGTCTTAGCGAGGATTCAGATCATGAAGGTGCATTTAAATTTAAGCCCACCACTAAATCCGCCATCAGCATAACTTTAGTGGAAGAATTACATGAAGGCGAGCATCACTGTTACTTACTAGGGTTTCCCTTTACTAGCCTTAACTCGACGCACTCATAGTTTACGTCACTTACAACAGCAGTTCAGGCTGAAGAAAAACATTTTGCCACTGAAAATACGGTTCCCTCCCTGGACCACGTCGGTCTTTATGGATTGTGGATTTTGAGTCTGGTGGTCTGGAGAACGTGGTTCATCAGATAACTATGTTAGCTTAACCTTGCATGATTTTACTATGGAGTCCACTAAAACCCGCTTGCTTCCTGGGCTCCAAACAAAGCAAGCCGATTCTCGAGCTGTTTATTTTCAGCTTAACCGATTCAAACTCCACGAAAAGTTGACCGCAGGGGAATATACCGTTAAAAACAGTTGAGGATATCTGGTAAAGACGTTTTTTAACTCTTGTAGCGTATAATTATCGAGGATCTGCAGGCGAAATTTCACTTGACCATGGCCTGAAACCCTCTCATCTACTCAGTACGAGCGACATGGTTTTATGGAGTAAAATCGCTATCTCTGATTAGTGTGTTTCCTAGGCGAACAAGGTTAGCCAGGTTGCATTATTTGGTTTCGGCTGCACACGTGCGACCACGTTAAGATGCTCAACGTTTTTTACGAGAGAACTAGGCTAGCCATCTCTATTCACGAATCGGTAAGGAATTGAGTTATTATTTTGAAGTTTTCGATCGCGTACTCAATTCCGGTAGGATAATGAATTTATTTGATGTTCTTTTGAAGAATTGTTCATGTAAATTTATGTGAAGCACTTGCCAAAAGCCCAGTAACCCAGTTGTACGGCGATCGAGAGTTTATCCCCACGTTTCCGAGCCTATTTCATTTGGATTTTCCCGCATAACAACGAACTATCAATTTAATTAGTCCGGGAGCAAGAAGAAAATAAATGAACGAAAGGTCGATGTTCACAAACCCGGGACTTGGAAGACAGATGAGGTGGCCTTTTGTTTAACTTGCGTCATAGAACCAAGCTCACCCAGACAGCACTCATTGGTGTTACAGTTAATTATGGAAGCACACAGCATCAGCTGACGTTACGCATATGATATTCAGTTTCATGCGTACCCATGTACAGTTAACTGATGAATGAGTACCAATCGGTTAGACAGGTTAAATGCGAAGGTTACGATCGGTTTGAAATCTCAATTCGATCTCTAGTGACGTCACATTGAAGAGTTCGCAGACGTGAAGATAACCAGCCGAGGCTTCGTGGACAACCATCAAAGTGCGAAGATAATTTGTTCTTTGAT